GAGGGGGAGGAGGAGGAGGAGTCGGAGGAGGCGGAGGAGGCGCTGGAGGCGCTGGAGGCGGAGGAGGAGGAGGCGGAGGAGGAGGAGGCGGAGGAGGCGGAGGAGGAGGACGAGGAGGAGGAGGAGCAGAACGACGACGACAAAGAGGCAACGAGTAGACAACAAGGGGAAGCGGAAGGAAGAGGGCGGCGACGGCGACGACGCCGAAGACCCGTCGGCGGGCGCAGGTTCCACCCAGAGTGCTTCGCCTGCGCCGGGTGCGGCGCCACCCTGGGCAAGACCTTCTTCACGCGCGGCGAGAGCCCGCCGTCGTCGGCGTCGTCGTCGTCGTCGTCGTCGTCGTCGTCGTCGTCGTCATCCTCGTGGTCGTCGTCGTCGCCGTCGCCGCCGCCGCCACCACCGTCGGCGTCGTCGTCCTCGTCGTCGTCCCCGTTCTCCCCGGCATCGTCGTTGCCCCATCCCGTCCCCTTGTCGTCGTCGTCGTCGTCGTTCTCCTCCTCCTCCTCCTCCCGTTCCTCCCCTCTCCGTCTGCCCCCTTCTCCTCTTTCGTCCTTTTGCTGGTCTTCCTGTCTACGTATTTCGCCCTCCACCTTCCGAGCTCCACTTTCCTCCGCCCTCCCTCTCCTCTTCGCCCTCCTCTTTCTCTGCCTCGCCCACGTTTAAATAATTTGCTTCCGTCAGACAAAGGGTTAAGTAAATGCGCTTCCCAGTTAGTTGTCGCTGTGGAAGTGCAATGACGTATCGTTAGGTTCATGGTATCAGCGACATGAATAAATCCGTTCGGTCAAATTGCTGGCAACATCTCGGGCCAAAGGTCATGTGGTTACCTTAAGGCAACGCTCATAAGTATTGATGTTCGCACAACCATCCAACATCAAATCTAATTGGGACGACCTGTTGCACGCCCCGCCGAAGGGTTCAATCCCTGGCCGCCGCTGGGAACCGAACCTGTCGGCCAGGGATTGAACCAGTGGGCCAGGGATTGAGCTCATGGCGGATGAGGGGGGGGGATGAGGTGGAGAGGTGGGATGACGGAGGGGAGGCGGGGAAGGAGAGAGAGAGAGAGAGAGAGAGAGAGTGGGACAAGAAGGGGAGGATGGGGCGGGAATTCTTCGGGTCTTCTGGTGGGGCGCCCTGCAACGCGGTAGGGGGGCGACGAAGAGTTGGGGGAGCGAGGTTGTGGGGGCCGGGGGCTCAGAGGGTCCCAGACGTCCCCGCGTCGGGACCAAAATGCGGGGGGAGGTCTGTGGCAACTCTGGCTGGGCGCGGCTTGAAGATCTGGCCACGAGGGTACCCTGGAGGGATCAGGGGACAAGCTTAGACAAGCTTTGATCGGATGTCTGTCTAGGCTACGGCAGGCATGGGCTGAGGTGATGGGCTTGTTTTCCACCACCACCACCATAAGTTGGAGGGAGAGGGGGTCCTCCTCCTCCTCCTCCTCCTCCTCCTTCTCCTTCTCCTCCTCCTCTCCGTCCCCCTCCTCGTCCTCCTCCTCCTCCTCCTCCTTCATCCAACTTATGGTGGTGGTGGAAAACAGGCCCATCATGAGGACATATCGCTCCAAGCCGTTCTGGGCGCTCTCGAAGCGTCCCGGAAGGCTCTGTGGGACGGCCGCGGCGCCCGACGCATTTTCCAGACCCCGCCTGCTTTCAGAGGTTCGCGACTTATTTCCATTTGAATTTGTCCTCGTCCTGCCCTCGTCTCCCACTGGACCGCCTGCGGAGGGCCCGCGGGGGGGGTCTCTGCGGTGCCCCAGGGCTGGGTCTGGCCCAGCCCCTTTCCCCCGGGCCGCGAAGCGGGTGCTTCCTGCGGAGGCGGCGCCCGCTTCGGGCTGTTGCATCAGGGCAGTGGCGAGTGTACCACGACGTGTAAATATTTTTCCGTGCTGTGGCCTCTTGTTGCTCCCCCATGCTGGGGTGTGCATTCAGAGGTTCCTCTGGCGTGGCATGCGGCTGCGAGGACTTGTCGCGGCCGCAGGCTGCGCCGGTGGGTCGCGCCATAGGTCGTGCGCCATAGGTTGCCCATGCGTCGGGCTCTTCGTCCCTTTCTCGTTTGTCACTCGGGTCGTTGCGAAGCCAATGGTCGCCATAATCATGCGAGTAAGTTCACCTTGGAGGTCTCCTCCTCCTCCTCTCCTCCTCCTCCGACCTTTCTATTCCCCCTCCTTCTTTTCCCCCTCTTCTTCCTCTTCCTTCTCTTCCTCTCCACGTCATCCGCCTGCATTTGCAGCCTTTTGGCTTAAGGGGGTTGCGCGGCAGGTTCGGTGGGGGCGCAAGCACAATCTTTTGGTTTGACAGGAGGCGGAGGGGGGGGGAGGTGGCAGTGGTGGGCTGGAGAAGGGATGGCGTGAGGCTGGCGGCGGAGGTACATGTAGAGGAGGGAGGGGGATGAGGAGGAGGAGGGACAGGAGGATGATGATGATGATGAGGAGGAGGAGGAGGGAATGGAGGAGGAGGAGGAGGAGGCGAAGGCGGAGGAGGAGGAGGAGGAGGAGGAGGAG